TCCACGCGAGTCCGTACCTACCGCTGTACCTGCTTATGATACATGCCAGATATAGACAGTGCGTCAATCAACAGCTGGTAAACAATAGCACAAAATCGGTTGGTGCATAGGAGTGAGACTGACACTGCTTCATATCAGCACATTCCTGTTTATGAAAGTTCTGATGCACTCCAATCAAGTCAGGAGTCTTGAATCTAAAGATTCACAAATGACGGTGCAAATCGTTACCTTTCCTGAAGTTACGTCTATGCCATTCTCATGCATTTGAAATCAGAGTCGTTTCACATAGCTAATGAGACTAGACTATGTGGAGAACGCATAGAAGCGCACGTGGAGGGTATATGAAAGTGTTCATAAGCAATGCGGGACAGAATTTACACGAACTGGTAGTAAGTTATATTTAGGTAACTGGAATTGTTATTAAAGCATAAGGCGTGCCTAGATTTAAGCTTTAGAACTGGCGATGGCAGATAATCATAACACTATCCTAGGGCGTTCACGTAAATGTTTCGTATTGATAGGACTGTTGAATACTAGAACAGGCGGAGTACACAGTTGAACTAGATGCTGTCCATTTCTACCGAGGACCCAGGACTGGCACTTATCAAACCCTTATTTTGTGTGAATAAATGTGTTGTACCACATTTTCGGCATAGGTACTTGTTAAAGCGCCTGGTGATTCCTTTGACAATGAGTAGTAAAAAAGCATACGTGAATCTTATGTCTAGTAGTTTAGCCTGTATGACTGCTGGGGGTACGAAGATACTTGTTCGTCAGAATGTGGCCTTCTGTCCCTTGTAGGGGTTTCAATATTCCGTCTTTTACCTATGTGTATTTTTGCCTGGATCCTATCTCAAAGTTATGTTTTTGTCATCTTTGGGGTCCAAGACAGCAGGATGCTCAGGAGTTTTTGCGCTACCTCCTCCAAGGCCTGCATGAGGACGTCAATCGCGTGCAAAAACGGCCTCCCTCCGAGAATCCCGACTATGACAAGGAGGACAAGATGCCGTAAGCGCAAGCTTTTATCTGTTAGGACGAGCTTTGCATGTGTGTTTTTTTCCCGTATGTTTCACAATGTCCTTAACGTGGTTGCACCAACTTCATAGAGTCGGACCTATTATCTGTGAAAAAATTTCATCGGAGCTGATTGTCTTGTGAGCTGTCCTCTTAAAGTGACACTCATCCGCACATCTCTGACCCGTTTCGCCTTTTGTCCGAAAAAATGAAATAAATGGCGTTCCAGTATTAACAGCACGCGTACAGATAGCTTAGACACAGTCTCCAACCGCGTTGGTGCATAGGAGCTTCCCTTTCAGGTGGAGAACTCACTCATCCCATTCTGTTTTGCGATTCAGTCTTGAGCCCCTCCCAGCAACCGCAAAGTGGCTAGTACAGTGGAGCCGCGGGAGACGAGCAGTCCCCCGCTAAAAGTATTTTAAGCAACGAGCAGAACATTTGTTCCGATTGACGAGTTTCCGCGCAGGTAACGAGTGGTCAGTGCGGGTGTGTGTGCGCGCTTGCGTCCGTCGTTGAGTCCTGCTCCCAGGACGTCCGTCCTCGGTCGTCTGCAGCCAATCGGTGCGGGAACGAATTAAACTCGTCAATCGAGGTTAAACTAGGTTGTATAGGCAGGAGAGCACTACCGAGGGAGGGCATGAAGACTGGAATAGTTATTTCTGGCTTCTTGGGCCTCATCAGCCAGCCGTACAAAAGCTCGGGTGTTGCGCCACCCAAGGCTCGAACCAGCGACCCAGTTTGTATACTAATTTTGGAAATGATGCCAACCCTTTGGTTTCTGACAGAAGCTGCTGTTGTGCCATTTTTCCAATTTCATTTTACTAAAACACAAAATGGACTGAAGTAAAAGGCGCTTTTGGGATACCCGTTAGTGCGTTATTCGCATCCCGATTCATCAACGCGCTGCATCATTCCAGTGGTTTTAATTATTACTCGATTATTCTCAGTGTTGGGTGCCGATTTTGGACTTCCTTCTCTATTGAGCTCTAAGTCTGGTGCCTAGCACTTGTCTGCGTATTAGTTTACGCGTTTTCTTTGTATTTCTTTTTGAGTCAATTTATTTTTGTCCTACTCTTTCAGTGACGCAGACAAAGCGGCGTTGTACTGGCGCAGGTACAAGGCAATCGATAATAGTATAATTGCTGGTGAGTTGGCTGGTTAAATCTTCAAAAAAGGATTGCTACCGGTAACCATCTAGTTAATCACATGTTTTTCTTCTTTTACTCTAACCAAGTCCAAACAGCCCGTTTTCACTAAGTTTAACGTTTTGTTTATGCGCCGATATTTGAGACAATTTACACCATAATCACTGGTACAAAAGAAATCAACGGCCTTGTTTTCAAACCATCATTAAAAAGTTGTAAATAATGATATACGCATACGTCTGTAAAACCTTCCATGGTCTCATTACAGAACTGCTCCAAAAACCCTTTCCCGTTAATAGGAACCGACTTTTCTCGTACTGTTAATTTATACTTCTAGTTGAACCGCAGTCACAGCCAAGTGTTACTTATTGTTGAATTAGAACATTGGTGAAATATCTTTTAAATTATTATGACCTTTCCTTTTTTCCTATTGGTCCAAACTTGATTTACTTTTGCAACTGTTTTCAGACTTATTCATGGGCCAGTTGATGAGCACACTGGAGTGCACCTCCTGTGGTTACAAGTCGACTACCTTTGACCCCTTTTGGGATCTCAGTCTACCTATTCCGAAGGTAAATTTGTGTTGCTTTTGATTGTACAGACTTGCGATATACTTGGACGTTTAAGCGTTTCAATTCCTGCAGTAGATCCCGGCTAATCGGCCAATATTTGAATAATTTCCCCCCTCATTTGCTGATTGTTTCGAGCAGCCGGTGTTGCTTCGTTACCGTCTGGTTCCTTTCCCTAATGGTTTTCTATTTGGTGTCTTTCGACTAATACAATGCGCCCTCGCGCTTGCTCTTGTTGCCGTGTCACGTACATGATTTTATAATTTGATCTGACAGTTTTCTTGGCCAGATGAACGTGAATATTTTTGAGATATTAGTTTTTTAATTGCTTCCATAGCGCAATTGTCTCACCTACGAAAAAATGTTTCCTCGGCATCCCAAACAGGGCAACCAGCTTTAGCTGGAGGTAACTTATCGATAAAAGCCTAGGCTATTTTTTTATTATCCCTCTCGCCGTCATCCCGTCCCACAGGGTGGCATATTACCACCACCGACATCTCACTGACACTTTCGGTTGACCTCGTGCACTTCCACCTATGGTGAGAGGTCGTTTCAGGCCACTGACTGAACTTCCGACCGTCCTCTCCCCATTCCCCGAAAGTCTGATTTGAGTCGAACCCAGGCATAACTAAGCTTAATGATGGCACCAGCGGGTGGCGTTTATTCGTGGTAATATATGCTCTCCGTTTCGGTGTTCTAACACTTGCATGCATAAGCACCTGCCCAATTGGACCGGTTGCCTCATTAATCATGCTGTAATCATGTGTGTGGGACGTTAAATGCTGTACTTAGTAACCGAACCTTAGGCCTTGATCCTCTCATAGGCCTAATGATCACTATGATTTTGCTTAGTTAGTAGTAATTTAGCCACATCAAAGATACTATATGCGTTTGCAAATAAACATCTACACCTAAGAAATTGAAGTTATTCATATTCTATCGACGCGCCTGTATGTGTCCCAAGTGAATTTTGCAGGTTAGATAGGATTTCACAATGTCTTGACGTTGATTTGATGCAATCAACGCTCAAAAACACCTTGTGAAATCTGTTCTTGTGCTGTACAAATTAATTGGTCACCCTTGACCCATTTCGTTTATCTTATTTCTCATTAAATAATTGGACTTTACACGGGACTCCTCGGCTCGTACTGTTCCTGCAGAACGTGTGATTAGGCTTTACGCATATGCATAGTTAATTAAGTGATTGTATGAAGAACCGAATGCGACACTTCCCGGAAGTGACAAGAAGTGAATGGCAGT